GGTTTAGGGTTTTGTGGGTTTAGGGTTGGTGCCTGTGGTTTTGCTTTGAGAAGAAACCGTTTGCGTTGGGGCGTCAGTTGTTAGAGGAACGAAGGGTGCAAACTTCAAGATCTTCGGCTGCTAGAGCTTTACGGCTTTGGGGATTGCAACAACTTGAAGAGCTCGTCTTTGGCACGTTCCAACTCACGAACGACAGGGAGGTAGGAGCTCAACTTGCGAAGCTTCATGCTCATCCTGGTGTGGTCTTTGACCCAGAAGTCGTGCAAGGACAGCAAGTCCTGCTCACTCACCTTCTCCAGCGAACTTGCTACCAATGACATAGACTGGGCGCTGATGTAGCAGAAGTGGCAGCGTGGAGCACAGGCTCAAGCACCGAAGCATCCGACGGCGGCTCCAAACAGTCCAAACAGCCCATTGACAGACTTTAGAACCGGAAGTGGGTACTAGTTGATTGTATACCTGGAGCCCGAGGGAAAGGACCGTGTGTTTGAGGGTGTTAACAGGCGTATGAGTCGTGGCGCTAACCCTATACCCTAGAACGAAAAATCAAAGTTCAAAAAAAGCGCGCGCCGCCACTGGCCGCGGTGTCATACTCTCCAGCCCTATAAGCCGCAAACCCCCAAACCCTAGCTTGTTTCAGGTACCTTGGTTACTCCAGGTAGACCCTAAACCCTCAACCCAAACCCTCAACCCTAAATCCACATAGTACCCATGGTCTCCATTGTAGTTCCTGTATTTGGGTTAACTCAAATCTAAAATCTATATTAAGGATCCTAAAGGTAACGGAACTACAATGGAGACTGCAGGTACAATATGGTACCCTTATGGAACCCTTAAAGAGATCCTTAAAGGAACCCTGAAAGGGCACCCTTAAACCCGAAACCCCTAAACCCGAAACCCTAAACCCCTAAACCCCTAAACCCGAAACCCCTCAACCCTAAACCCCTAAACCCTAAACGCGAAACCCCTAAACCCTTAAAGCCTTAAACGCGAAACCCCTAAACCCTTAAAGCCTTAAGGGAATCCTTTCAGACGATCTGGCCTGGCTTCGCGCCTTTGAAAGCGCCACAGGGCTCAAAGCAGCGAGTGGCCTCGCCAAGCATTCTGGTGTTGGGTCTGGGGTTTAGCTGTGGAGCTGCACAACTCAAGCTTAGGGTTCAGGGTTTCGGGTTTAGGGTTTAGGATGGACTAGGGCTTATCTGGCACAGGGCTTGGGGCACTGGTGATTCTGTAAGGCCCGAATATCCCAAAGCTCTTATCAACTTACTTCCCCAATAAGCCAGGGAAATACAAGGTTAAACTGTCAGACGGCTGTTTTTTTCTGAACCCCAAAAAGCCTATAAAGGTTGGGTACTTGAGAACCATAAGTTCAACCCTAGAGCCTCCAAGCGCACGCCTTAAACAGGAACCTCGAAGCGCCGGCTGGTGGTTGAGGGTTTTAAGAGGACTAGGGCTCCAGTTTTTGTCTACGGTTTTGTGTGCGTGTGTGTGTGTGTGTGTTTTTTTTTTCACGGTTTTTTGTGTTTTTCTGCTCATTCTGAAAACTTGAAGCCCGTATATGAACCCTACACGCAAAGAACGACATATCAAGAACATGAACCCGCCTTTCCGTCGGTCACCAAGGACAGCTCCATGGCAGGAGAGAAGCGGCCCGGGGCTTCGAGGGGTGTTTGTGTTATCTTCGGTTATAGGTTCTACAAGGGTTCTTTTAGGGTTCTGTAAGGGTTCTTTTAGGGTTCTATAAGGGTTCTATAAGGGCTCTATAAGGGTTTATAGTGTTTTGGGGACTCCTTGAACTCTTGGAATTCGATGTTGCATGCTTCCGGGGCCAAGAACCTAGAGTTGCTCGGAAAAAGTTCAGGGTCGTTTGCTGGCCTGCCTCCCAGTTTCAGGCTTGGTGGCGGTGGCATCTTACCGCTTTCGGGTCTTGGCATCAGCTGGGGAGTGCAGGTTGAGGGTCCTTCGTTTCAGGGCTTCAAGCTCTTTGCTTTTGGGGTGCGGGGTTTGTGGCTCTGAGGTTCCGGGTGCTGGCGTAGGTTTATGGTTAGACTTAGGGCTTAGGGTTTAGGGCCACAAAGCCAAAGCAGTCTTCGGTAGATGCTCGGAGGACGTAGGCGTGTGCGTCGTGGGGGAAGGGGAGGGAGGGCTTTCGGGCAAAGGAATCCGAAACAAGCGCTGGTCAACTCTACAAGCCTGACACCGTTGGAGCGAACAAGTCTGCGGCAGGATCTTCGCGTGGCAGCGCTCGCTGAGGATAAGAACCTGAGCGGCGGGACATGCAGGCATCTTGGCTGTTTTAGGGCTTAAGGGTTCAGGGTTTAGGTGTTTTTTTTGGGGGGTGGGTTCTAGGGGTTTAGGGTTAAGGGTTTAGGACCTTTAAGGGTTCCTTTAAGGTTTTGGTGGGTTAGCGTTTAGGGGTTAGGGGTTCGGGGATTGAGATTTCCCTGAGGGTCCAAGTACCTTATATATCGTCATATACTCTCCCAGCTACGAGGCTACACAACTTCTACCCGAAACCCAAGTACCCGACTCTTCTTGGGTCCCTAAGCCCTACACCCTAAACTTAGAGTAAGGCTGCATGTGCCAATATGGTGTATACTCTCGCCTTGAAGGGCTCAGGAAAGCCCTAAACTCTCGAAAAATGTCTATGTGGGGTTTAGGGTTCGTAAGGTTGAGGAACCCCTCAAAAAAAACATATAGTCTGTATAGGTACCTTGAGGCCTAAGTACGAACTTTAAACAAGTACCTGGAGCCCATCCTTTCCAAGTTTTTTCTCGACTCTTGAAGCTTTGGAGTTTCGGACTTTCAAAAACCTGAGGCTCCATGTGCTCAGTTTAGGGTTTAGGGCTTAAGGGTTTAAGGGTTTAGGGTTCAGGTACTCATATAGTATATACATTGGCCCCAAAGTACTTATATAGGGACTACATTAAGGCCAAAGTATTTACTGTTTGGGTACATGGACCCTTTAGGTAAAGACTACTTGTCCAGTATCCTGGGTTAGATTATACTGTGATTATAATAAGGAACCCCCCCCCAAAAAATAGTATAGGTAATGATTAAGGCCCCTAGAGTAACCGCAACTAAACCCCAAAACCCTAAACCCTCCAGCGAGCACCCTTCAAGGAACCCTAAGCCCCAGAGCCCAACGGTCATAAACCGTAAGGTACTGTTCATGATGTAAAGCCTGCATTACCTTAAGCACCCTAAACTATGGGAATTATGGTATATTCCTGATTATGGGTATTGCAGGATTTATATCATCAACCCTAAACCCTAAACCCTAAACTCCTGGACCCTAAAACCCTAAAACCCTAAACCCTAACACCCTAAACCTTTCATCAACCGTATGGCCAGACATCTGAGGACCCCTGCTGCGTGCAGCGTTCCGGGGACCTGGGGCATGTCATCCGTGTACTTGGCCTGGCAGTTCAGGGCCCAAACCCCAGGGTGTGGAAAGGGGCTCTGTTCAGGGTTTAGGGTATAGGGTTTAAGGTTTGGGGTTTAGGGTTTAT